TATATATATATATATATATTTTAAACGGTGAAGCTTTATGGTTATCGAGGAGAATCGAAGCACAGTTTTAACACCATTAGAAACAACACTCACAGTTTCGGCGTTTCTACGAGCACTGCGAGATTTTACAATCAACACTGTATTTCCGCGTCTATAGATTAAGTTCGCATGCGTATCGTGCACATGCGGTTTATAAAGTCGCGTTACGACACGAACACATCGTTGGATATCGGAGCGTGTTTATTTCGTTTCTCGTGTGAAAAATCGTGTATAACGATCTAGTGGCTCTAAACGCAAGGGCATAAACGAGTGGAATTGAAAAAAAGCAGAAGCAATTTTCTTTGAAATATCGGTTCATAAATTTTTCTCGCTTATGAATAAAAAATTTCTCTCGAACAGGTAGTAGACTGAGACAAATTTTTCTTCCGTTGTTATCGTCCTACTTCGAGAGACTGATGTGTGAAGTTTTAGTTATAAAATTGGAACTTTGTATTGCGATGATTTTTATTCGATTTTTACGAATCGTTGGTTATCTCGTCTTTTATTTCCGGGGATCTTGGGTAAATTTGATTGTAAAATACGTGTACAGCAGTGATAAATTTATTTTACAATTGTAAAATTTGTAAAATATATTCAATGGTAATTTATTTTAATAAAGTGTGATTGTCAGAGTAGCAGAATATAATAATTAGTATTAATGGAAGAAAACAGTGTAAGGAAAGAAAATTTAATTTCAAATGTTATAATTAATAATAGTATCTAGTAATAGATTCTTTACGTCTAAAGTGGAAGAAACTGTTAATTAAATGTACTCGCTATTAGTGTTATTTATACTTTATTTTTTAATACATACTTGGATACTTTTAGCGTGAGTGACAAGACAAAATGGAGGGTGAATGGATAAGGAAGTAATATATTGTAAATCAAGTCCTTTTCACAGCCACGAGGCTGAAAATAAATAATGATCATTTATTTTTCAATCTTTATTTTCATAACGAATTTTATGAATATTAATTACTGTTGCACCGAACAGTTGCATTCTCATTCATAAGTTGGGATTTCAACGATCGCGTGTGTTAAAGAACCCCTCGACACTTCCGGTCTCTACTTTCCTGACTCTCTCAGGGGGACTCGAGCGCGTAGAGGTGATTTTTAATTAGCAAATGCGAAAAATCTGTCGACTATTGATTACGACAAATATTTGTCCGGTGCATAGTTAAATAATTTTATTATTAAAGATTTTTTAACGTAGCTAACGAATTTTCGTCGAATAACTTTCTGCTGAAATGTCTTGTAACACTTCCTAGGTGAAAATGTCCAAATAGATAACGAAGAGACAAAGTTTCAAAGGTCTGAGATAATAGAAAATTTTCAGAACGAAGGAAATTAGAATTAGAATTTCTCTATTTGCAGAAAATTTTTAATCGATCATTTATAGTTGAAGTATATTAACATTGCAATATAAATGCAATTCAGTTACATACATTTTCAACAATTTTTGATAGATACAGAGGAAAAAATAAAATTAACGATAACTATTACAGTATTTTCATTAATTTCTCGTTTAAAAGTAAATTAACAATATTTTTAATATTACAAAATAGAAGTAACAGTTTGAAAAATATCCCACACTTGTTGAAAAGAATTTTTTACTTTTAAACTTATCTTCGAACGTAACTTGTCACTTATTTAATTACTCAATTAAATTAATCAGAAAATTTAATAGTTCGTTTATTTTTGAAGAGAAAATATTCTTCTTAAGAAGACAATTCCACGGCTGAATTGAGAAATTTACCCCGTACAATTCGTAACTTAATCAGGTCCTAATAACCTCGTGTTTAACTACGAGTGTTTGTTCAGTCGACTATTGTCTGCGGTTGGAAATACGGAAGCATTTGTATTTCTCTGTAGTTGGGCTCCATACTTACCGCATACATATTCATTGTTCTATATTAAGGCATGTACGAAAACAACAGTCGAAACATGCAGAGAAATCGTAAAAGATACGATCTCTCGTGACATCGTTCGAACAAGTGGCCTTGAGCAGCCAATTAACTTGAGACAGACTATATTCGAATCTGTCCTTGCCGCTGTAATCGTTCTGAATCGTCTTTCACGTTTCTATTTGTCTTCCATTAAGCCTCCCTCCCTCTTATTCAGTCTCCAAACTCATCCAACGTATCTAACCTCTTTTATCCAGTGTTTTATTTCATTTTGTTATACAAGAGCTGCCAATAATTGACCTGTTTCTACGTCTACTGAAATACACACTGTAACGATAGATTTTGAGAAAAATGAAAAGTAAAGATGTTGTATTAGAGTATAGTAGATAAAACGATTTTTAAAGCGACCATTTCAGTGTCCCAGTTGGTTTTCCTATTTTCGTGGAAACGTTTTTTATTGTTCAATTTAGAAAGCTATTTTGGTTTAAATTATTAAAGTGATACGTGTTATAATAGTATAAAAGAAATAGAATATAGTGATCTAATCGTAATTCTTTAATTTTCAAAGTATTCCACATTTGATACTATCGAACTTTTATTTCGTGACATGTCTTCACTTCGCAATCAGAGAGACTTGAAAAATTTATGTACTAT